ATATGTCAAATAATCCCATCTCTTGCTTACCGCACTTTTCGTATCGTTCTTCTTTCGCAACAGCCCTTTTTTTTATAAACAATACATAGCTCTTACCTATTATTGTACTTATCTATTTTTACATGCAAATATGTTCAATCATGACACTATGCAACCGTACACTTTGGTACGGATAATACACCAGGGGCTTACAACACCCCATAACGTGGTGTGAGAAGACCGAACACTCTAACAAGTGCGGCAATCCGAACTTATAGCACTATATGCATCGGCTCCGAATCATGTCTTTGGTCAATAGTTGGGTTTGCCCGGCTCCCATGTTTTGGTACCTTACGTTCCGCATTGTTGGCTAAGGTAGCGCTGGGAGAACTACTGCGATTGTGCCCCAGTTGAGCTGGGTTAACACCTCAGTAGAGAAAGCTAAAACTGATTGTCATGATAGTGCGAGAGACCGGTCGCTGTTCGCGAGGTTTTTTCGAGTCCTTAAAGACTTATGCCGCTTCAAGCGAGGAACCGGACTTATCCGGCCTAGGCGTGGATAACGCCCCGAACTCGGTCTTCCGAATACTAGGGGCTTCGCCAAAATTTAAAACTATAGAATTCTATGGCTAAGTGAGAGTGATAAAGCATTATAAGTCCGACGGCCTGGTTCGCTGTGCTGAACGCCTCCCTAGATGGACCCAAGAATGGGAACAAGAGCGCTCAGGTTTATCCCGAACACCCCAGCACTCGTGGCATGGGGGTTGAAGCCGACGACTTGCATCTCTCAGATTTGATAAACGGCCGCACAGAAGGTAATATTTTAAATTAACAAGCGTTGCTTAACGCATATGAACAAAGCTTCAGCGTACAGGATAACAAATGCGAGTTTACTCAAAAATTATATCTTTGGAGCACTCATCCGCTATGCGGCGGGCACCCTTCAGAATGCCATTGTAATACATCTCGGGCGTACGATACTCCTTGCCCGGCGGTGGCGCATCCGTCAACAACTTCTCCGCGTCTAGCTTGCCCCAGTGCACCTTAGCACGGGCAAGGGCCTGACGGGCACCTTCAATACAAACGGAGCACTTGACGACCTCAATCCACGGACACGCGTCCACCAGCCGCCGCACCAGACCAAAGTAGTTCCCAGGCATGGCTTCTCCAGGCCACTGCCGAGCTATGAGGCCCTTCATGGCCTGTTCGGCCACCTTGTGGAGCTCAACCAGCTGCTTCAGTTGGTCACTCAGGGGCACCGGATGTTCGGCCTCAGCATACTGAGACCAGAACAGTTTTTCTGTCGAGCTCCCCTCTTCAGCTCGGTAGTATGCAGCAGCATCAGACACACTACGGGGTAGATCGGCGAACGCTCCTGGAGAGCTCCGGATTCGGGTAAGTAGCAGATAATTAACTTTTATATTTTTGCTTTGCATAAAGAATGCCTTACCCGCCGCTATCTTCTTCATTGCCTTGATCTCCTGAAGGGCCTTCTGGGCTTCGACCTTAGCGGTCTTGGCACTCTCAAGAGCCAAGGCAAGCTCGGACTCTCGAGTCTTTGAGTCACGCTCCAAACTCTCGTGTTTTTCCACGAGAGCCTGGAGCTCTTGCCGCACCTCCGTCACCCGCGCCTCCTGCTTCTCTCGCTCGGTGCGCTCCAAGGCTGCACTCTTTTCGGCCTTCGAAACCGCCTCCTTCAGGGTCGCCACCTCGGTCGTGGCTCCTGCAACATTAACGTTGGTCCTGTTATTATTATGCAACCAAGTATTTCTATATACATTTACAGGAGGTGCTATGTACCCTCTTTATCCTCGAGCTGCTTCTTGGCACGGCCGAGCTCGCTCTCGGACCGCTCGAGGCTTTCCTTCAAGGCATTGACCTCCGCAGTCAGTGCGGCAGAGGTCAGTAGCGCAACCAGCATTCCCATATTGACATATTTCTATTAGACTCCTGCGTATATCTTTTAAGATCCTCAGTTCGGCTTTTCTTTCCGAACACCGAACTAAGCATCAGGGGCTACTGTCTATGCGCTAACATTTTTTATATATGTTTTTGAACACATAACTCAAATCCCGCTAACAGGCTTGTGCAGGCTTCCGTCAGCCCGCTCTTGGCGGACTGAACCTTTTGAATCACCGCACTCATAACAGTGCGGTGTTCTTCGTAGATAGAGGCGCCGTTGAGCGCCTCCAGCAAATTGTCCGGCGCCTCCGGGTGGACGGAAGTCGCCGGTGTCACCGACTTGCCCTTCTTGTGAAGGCGCCGCTTGTCGGGCTCTGGAACCACTGATGGTTCCGGAGCAGTGTCCGGCCCAGGGCCGGACTTAGATCCCTCCGGGGTTTTACCCCCTTTGGGTTGGGAGTTCGGAAGGTCGCCTTGTGGCGCTTCCAGGACCACCTCCTCCTGGTTTTGTCCCCTACGGGACTCCACCTTCGCGCCGTCTGTAGGGAGAGGGGAGGAGGCCGTCGGAAGTGAAGCGCTATTCACATCCGACGAATTTAGAGATCCGCTCGACGAATCGCCAAGCTGAGCTCTGGGCGGACTGTATGATTACCTTCGGTGTTAGAAGCTATCAAATAATAAAGGAGTGCAATAAGTCATTCGGGTAGCCGTACACTTACGATTTTGCCAGGGGCTTGACCCTGGAGGGCCAGTCCTCCTCGCCGTCTTCGGCGTCGGGGGCGTAGTCCGGCAGAAGGGGATTCCCCTTCTTGGACCCTCCGGCTTCCCCAGTTGGGGCGGCCTTTCTCTTCTTTCCTCCCCCCGCTGGAGGGGGAGGCATCTTCTTCTTCCTCCTCCTCATCTTCGGAGGCGGAGGGTGCATTGGAGCCGTCGGGCAAATCCGACGACACCGGGCGCCGGGAACTCTTTCGGGTCCCCGTGGCCTTCTCCTTGGCCTTCTTCTCCGGCACCACATGGGGTGCCAGAACCAGTAGCTTCGCTAAGTGTGCGTCTACTGGGCCTTCGGGCAAAGAGGCCGGACAGTCAAACTGTCCGGATGTCCTCTTCCAATCCTGTCAAAGGAACGGGAGTTTAGATCCCACATAAGGTCACACTATGAAATGCGGATATCCCGTAAGGGACTAAAGGTAAGCTTACTTCGGAGGCTTGACATTTGGCACAGAACCCGCGATCCTCGGTGACGAGAGGGGAGACCTCGGAGCTTTTGAAAAGCACCTTCCAGGCGTCCTCGTGCTTCGTTTCGAAGAGCCGGGATAGAGTCTGGTGCTGGGCCGGGTCGAACTCCCACAAATTGAAGTCCCGTCGTTGACACGGGAGGATCCGGCGGAAGAGCATGACCTGGACCATGTTGACAAGTTTGACCTTCTTGGTCACTAGGTCTCGGACGCAGGTTTGGAGTCCGGTCACCTCTTCCGGATTTCCCCACGACAAGCCGGTCTCTTTCCAAGATGTGAGCTGGGTGGGGATGCCGGATCGAAATTCAGGGGCCGCTACCCATTTAGGGTCACGCGGCTCGGTAATATAAAACCACCCAGATTGCCACCCTTTGATGGTTTCCACGAAGGCACCCTCGAGCCAGGTGACGTTGCTATCTGTCCCACCATGGCGCCTCCGCATTCCGCTTGTCGGCCTTGCACGACCTTCGGCTTGATGCTGAAGATCTTCAGCCATAGGCCAAAGTGGGGTTGGATGCGGAAAAAGGCCTCGCACACGACGATAAACACCGAGATATTGAGGATGAAGTCCGGGGCCAGATCGTGGAAGTCCAGGCCGTAGTAGAACATGAGCCCCAGGACGAACGGGTGAAGAGGAAAACCCAGTCCGCGGAGGAAATGGGGAAGAAAAACAACCCTCTCATGGGGCCTGGGGGTGGGGATGAGTTGCCCTGCATCTGGGAGCTGGTGCGCGATGTCGTTAGACAAGTATCCGGCCTTCCTGTGGTTTTTCATTTGTCCCTTCGTGACGGAGGAGGCCATCCATCTACCTCCCGCTCCTGACATGGTTGGAGAAGGTTGAGGTGAGAAGTGCGGGCTTGGGCGCTGGAGCTCGAGCGCGTAGGGACGGATAAGCAGAGAAAGATGGCGTGAATGGAAAGGGCGGATTCTTATCCCCTTATATGGGCGGCCAAAACTACGAGCCCCCCACCGGCCTAATAAAACTCGCTTATCCCCCAAGCGCCGCGGTTAATGGCGCGGTTGGGTTACCCACACCCGTATTGATGAGAATCCCGGAATAAGGGAACACGATCTCTGCTTTGACAAGACATGCCAGGGAAACCGCCTCACTAAACGCGCTGAGGTGGAACAATAAAATGAATAAAGAGCCTAGCTGTGGCATGATGTCACGCCACAGAATACGTCAGCAGATCCGATTGATATGAATATTATTCTCTCTACGAAGGAATGTGGAACTTATTTTGCAGAGCCGGACACTACCCTGGTGTTCAGCATCTTCTATGAAATATTCGGAGGAGGAACCCGCCTTGCAATGCCGAAGACAACTTGCGCGCCGGACTCGTCGTCATTGAAGCCTGGTTCAGGGGCTACTGAGGGAGTCCTGGATTAGGAGGTGTCCGGATGGCTGGACTAAGACCTTTGGCCGGACTCCTGGACTATGAAGATACAAGATTGAAGACTCCGTCCCGTGTGCGGATGGCACTTTCCTTGGTGTGGAAGGCAAGCTTGGTGATACGATATGAAGATCTCCTCCCATTGTAACCGACTCTGTGTAACCCTAGCCCTCTCCGGTGTCTATATAAACCGGAGAGTTTTAGTCCGCAGGACAAACAACAATCATACCATAGGCTAGATTCGGGTTTGAAAAACGTGATTTTACATGCAATGGATGCACAGGCGCGCACATACACAGAGATGGAGAGAGAGAAATTGCTACCTAGAGCCGGGTTGAGTCATCCAAAATTTAACGGTTTCAGACATGGCATCCACATTCTGTATGCATCTAGAAATCATCAGCCTCTACGCTCTAGTCCGGCACCATATCCCCACAAAAACCATGCGGACCAAAGGTGCAAGCACGAAACCAGGATCTATGAGAAATTTCTATCTATGCACCATATTGCTGGATAATTCATGAAGCAAGACGAAATACAGAGACAAAATCTGATGATGCGCTAACAAATCAATGGCTTCGTCCATCCAGATCACGGGCGGCGTGACAGAAGAAGAGAATACCTGGACGTCCTCGACGGTGGCGTGGAGGTCCGGCGAGTCCTTGACGACCTTGATGTGGTCAACAACATTGCAGACGATGTCAAGCCTGTCGATGATGCGCTTGAGCGGGTGGACCAAGCACTCCCACGCCGGCTCCACGCCCTTCTCGAGCTCCTCCAGCTCGCCCTCGTACGAGAAACCACAACCACACACGATCAGATCCGGATGGGCGACGAGCGGGCGAACGAACGGGGATCAGGGGAAGGGGGATCAGGGCGTACGAGGTAGGCGAGGAGCGCACAGATCCCGAGACGGACGTGCACGGGCTCGACGTCGTCGAAGGGCGGGAAGTCGAAGTCGGCGAGCATCGGGTTGCTGCTACTGTTGGCATCCACCATGGTGTCAGAGGCGGCGGTGCAGTAGGCAGAGCAGGCGGGGTTGGCAGAAGGGAGGGTGGCCGAGGCAGGGGAGGAGGGGGCAGCGACGAAGGAGGGACCTGCCGGCAAGGTGAGAGAGTTGACGTGTTGATCTGGATCGGGGAGCATACGACGGCGTGTTGGATCGGGGAGGAGGCATTCCGCGTGCTATGGGAGGGAAGCAGATGGGAGAGGAGAGGCCGTCGGCAACGAGCTGTGGGAGGGACGAGGTGGTGGGTGGGTGGCAGCGTGAGGAGGCAAGGAGGCATGGGAGGGGCGCGAGCGACGGTAGGGTTTGGAGTTTGGACGAGGGGGGGGGGTGAGAGGGAAGAGGCCACGATGGGTGAGAGTGTGAGGGGGACGAGGGCCGCCATTAGATCCGGGAGTATCCGACGGTGTGTGACCCATGATCCTTGTGAATGCCTATGGACCAATCAGAACGCAGTAAACAGTTTGAAGATGTCATGGCCATTCAAATTGGTCATAATTGGTTAAAAATAAGTTCTTTTCACAACAAAAGTACTTTCTATTTTTCGAGTAACAGTGATTGTTCTTTTTTGCGAAGAACCTACCAAATATTTGTTGCAAAATGGCACCACATCATTTTTAGAAATCATTAGACCATATTTTATGCACAATTGACCAAATGGTTGGGTGTGAAAAGTTTTTATCCACCTCTTGTTAAAAAGACAAATTTCCGACGATTCAGCAAGAAACGGTTCAAATTTGAACTGTAGCTGCCTCATAGTTTGTTATTTATTTTTTTCAAAAATTATTTTTAGGTATAAAAGTAACTATTTAATTAGAGAAACACCAAAAGTTTTCCAAGATTCAACCACTAGCTAGGAACGGTAATGCCCACCGTTTTATCCGCATTTTGAAACGGGCATGAAAAATTAAAACAAATTCAAAAATATGGAAAATCTTCACATTGTGTCATTATATGTGGCCAAGTTATCGCTAAAAATAATAAACTTGTAATATGATAACTTTTTTAAAAAGTGTTCTAAAAAATGAGCTATCATGCGTGGAGATTCATGGCTTTCAAGCCAAATTATCAATCTTATGGCCACATTCATGGCATGGTTTGTTCAAATGATCTCATATTGTGCACAAGGGTGCATGTTGGAATGACAAACAATGTTGCCTAAGGAAGTTTTCATTTTCTTTAAATGAAACAATCATTTTCAATTTTTCGAGTGCACAAAATGAGGTTTTTTGTGAAGGACCTACCAAATATTTGTTGCAAAATTGTACCAAATCAATTTTATAAAATACTAGGACATATTTAATTCACAATTGACCAAATGGTTGGGTGTGAAAAGTTTTTATCCACCTCTCGTGAAAAAGAAAAATTTCCGACGATTCTGGAGGAAATGATTCAAATTTAAACTGTAGCTGCCTCATAGTTTGTTATTTATTTTTTCCAAAAATAATTTTTAGGTACAAAAGTAAATATTTAATCCAAGAAACACTAAAAGTTTTCCAAGATTCAACCACTAGCTAGGAACGGTCATGCCCGACGATTTGACTGCATTTTGAAACGGGCATGAAAAATTCAAAAAAATTCAAAAAATTGGAAAATCTTCGCATTGTGTCATTATATGTGGCCAAGTTACCATAAAAAGTAATAAACTTGTAATACGATAATTTTTTAAAAAAGTGTTCTCAGAAATGAACTATCATGTGTGGATATTCGTGTCTTTCAAGCCAAATGATCAATCTTATGGCCACATTCATGGCATAGTTTGTTCAAATAATCTTATGGCCACATTATGCACAAGGGTGCATGTTGGAACGCCAAACAATGTTGCCTAAGGAAGTTTTCATTTTCTTTGCACAAAAAAATCATTTTCCATTTTTCAAGTGCCCAAAATGAGGTTCTTTTAAGGACCTACCAAATAATTGTTGCAAAATTCGACCAAATCAATTTTCTGAAATACTAAGCCATATTTAATGCATAATTTTGGACCAAATGGTTGGATGTCAAAAGCTTTTATCCTCCTCTCGTGAAAAAGACAAATTTCTGTTGATTCAGTTGGAAGCGGGTGAAATTTGAACTGCGGCTGCCTCATAATTTGCTATTTATTTTTTCCAAAAATCAGTTTCAGGTACAAAAGTATCTATTTAATCAAAGAAACACCAAATTTTTTCCAAGATTCAATCACTAGCTAGGAACGGTCATGCCCGCCGTTTTGACCGCATTTTGAAACGGACATAAAAAATTAATTTTTTTTTGAAAACATTCGCATTGTGTCATTATATGTGACCAAGTTACCAGAAAAAATAATAAATTTGTAATACGACAATTATCTTAAAAAAGTGTTATCAGAAATGAGCTATCATGTGTGGAGATCAGTGCCTTTCAAGCCAAATGATCAATCTTATGGCCACATTCATGGCATAGTTTGTTCAAATGATCTCATATTGTGCACAAGGGTGCATGTTGTAATGACAAACAATGTTGCCTAAGTAAGTTTTCATTTTCTTTGCACGAAAAAATAATTTTCAATTTTTCGAGTGCCCAAAATGAGGTTTTTTTGTGAAGGACCTACCAAATATTTGTTGCAAAATTGTACCAAATCAATTTTATAAAATACTAGGGCATATTTAATGCACAATTGACCAAATGTTGGGTGTGAAAAGTTTTTATCCACCTCTCGTGAAAAAGACAAATTTCCGACAACTCAGTAAGAAACGATTCAAATTTGAACTTCAGATGCCTCATAGTTTGTTATTTATTTATTCCAAAAATAATTTTTAGGTACAAAAGTAACATTTAATCAGAGAAACACCAAACATTTTCCAAGATTCAACCACTAGCTAGGAAAGGTCATGCCCACCGTTTTGACCGCATTTTGAAACGGGCATGAAAAATTCAAAAAATTGGAAAACCTTCACATTGTGTCATTATATGTGGCCAAGTTACCGGTTAAAGTAATAAACTTGTAATACGATAATTTTTTTAAAAAAGTGTTCTCCAAAATGAACTATCATGTGTGGAGATTCATGGCTTTCAAGCCAAGTGATCAATCTTATGGCCACATTCATGGCATAGTTTGTTCAAATGATCTCATATTGTGCACAAGGGTGCATTTTGTAATGCCAAACAATGTTTCCTAAGGAAGTTTTCATTTTCTTTGCACAAAAAAAACATTTTCCATTTTTCGAGTGCCCAAAATGAGGTTATTTTTGTGAAGGACCTACCAAATAATTGTTGCAAAATTGGACCAAATCAATTTTCTAAAATACTAAGCCATATTTCATGCATAATTTTTGACCAAATGGTTGGGTGTGAAAAGTTTTTATCCACCTCTCGTGAAAGAAAAATTTGTGCTGATTCAGCTAGAAGTGGGTCAAATTTGAACTGCGGCTGCCTCATAGTTTGCTATTTATTTTCCAAAAAATCATTTTTAGGTACAAAAGTATCTATTTAATTAGAGAAACACCAAACAATTTCCAAGATTCAACCATTAGCTCGGAACGGTCATGCCCGCCGTTTTGACCGCATTTTGAAACGGGCATAAAAAAATCAAAAATAAATCAAGAAATTTGAAAACCTTCGCATTGTGTCATTATATGTGACCAAGTTACCAGAAAAAATAATAAATTTGTAATATGGCAAATATTTAAAAAAAAGTATTCTCAGAAACGAGCTATCATGTGTGGAGATCAATGCCTTTCAAGCCAAATGATCAATCTTATGGCCACATCCATGGCATAGTTTGTTCAAATGATCTCATATTGTGCACAAGGGTGCATCTTGGAATGACAAACAATGTTGCCTAAGGAAGTTATCATTTTCTTTGCACCAAAAAATCATTTTCCATTTTTCGAGTGCCCAAAATGAGGTTTTTTGTGAAGGACCTACCAAATATTTGTTGCAAAATTGTACCAAATCAATTTCTAAAATACTAGGACATATTTAATGCACAATTGACCAAATGGTTTGGTGTGAAAAGCTTTGATCCAGCTTTCATGAAAAAGACAAATTTCCGTCGATTCAGGAGGAAGCGGGTCAAATTTGAACTGGAGCTGCCTCATAGTTTGCTCTTTATTGTTTACAAAAATCATTTCTAGGTACATAAGTATATATTTAATCAGAAATACATGGTTTGGTGGTGATACATCGAGGTTTGGAAAGTGGCTGAGCGCCCCAACTCCAGAGCGCGTAAACTCGCATGCCCGGCGCGTGGTCACCGCATGACTTTGGCGTTTCCATGCGTTCTGGGCGGCCTAGGCATGTCTAGTGGGTTCGGCACTCCCTAGGTAGGTGTTAGGAATAAAATCACAACATAAGATTCTCAAGAGGAGACCGAACTATGCTCAAACATGAATTAGTAGCCAAGTGTTTGATTAGCGGTATGGGAAATGCACATGGCTAACGGGCGTGAGTTTTGGCTGATGATGATCAGTTACTAAGAAGACTGTCTTCACAAATTTTCATCTCAAAAGGAGGAGACTAGGTGGTACTTGCTTTGCAAAGTAACACACTGGACATAAATATGAATGTTGAAGCTGAGCTCAAAATAATGAATGGATTGAGCTGAAATTTGGTGGAGGATGGTTATTTGGGCATAGGAAAGCACTATAGAAAATGGATACCATTTGGACATGCCAAAGTGGCACTTCCTTCACAATTCTCTTCTCTAAACAGAAACTTTGGAAAATTAGTGAGAGAAATTGGCTAAATGAAATGATCTCAAATTTGGTGTATGTAAGTTACATATGCATATACAATATGTGGCGAAAATTCAACTCATTAGGATATGCATAGCTAGTACTTCTTTCACAAAGGTTCTAGGTGGAAAAAAACTTTGCAAATTTGCCGAGGAAGATTTACTGGGCAAATGGAGCTAAATTTTGTCATAAGGCAATGATTTGGATAGGAAAGAGTGGCCAAAATTTTTGAGGGCAATCAAAAATATATAAATAGCACTTCCTTCAAAATGCTCTTCTCTAAACAGAAACTTTAGAAAATTAGTTAGAGAAATTGGCTAAATGAACTGAGCTCAAATTTGGTGTAGGTAAGTTACATAGGCATATAGAATATGTGGCAAAAATTCAACTCATTAGGACATGCGTAGCTAGTACTTCTTTCACAAAGGTTCTAGCTGGACAAAAACTTTGGAAATTTGGCAAGGAAGATT